TCGAATATTTACAATATATTGAGATGTTACTTCAAATTTATATTAAGGAATGAATTTCAGCTTGTACGCAATACCAGCAAATTGTGTTGTACAGTGGATATATTGAATACCATCATATCATTTCTGTACCAACTTATAAACATTAAATATTGCACATTATTTTTTACATCACGGAACTGAGGAGACGTATGTGTGTGTGTGTGTGTGTGTACTTGCTTACCCACCATGGAAATCTACACAGAGTATTGGTACAAAAAGCGTTTAGGCATTCATCGCAGTTTAAAACATCATCACCATAACAATTTCTTTAAAAACAAATTTGCTATCAGATTTATACGTCTGTATAACAAAGTCTTAAGTTTCAGCTAAATAATATCTTTAAAACGTTATTTTTTTACATTTAGTTTGTTTGTTCCCCTGAGGCACATAATAACGAAACGGCTAGGTCAGGGACTTCTAACGTTCAGCCATAGTCGTTCCAAATTTTGAACTCTGGGGTAGAGAGAGAAGGAACCAGTTGGCAGCACCAAGCCGCCTGAAACGGATACTCTTAATCGAATAGCGAGATTAACTGTTACTTTTATAACGTACCCCTAGCTGAAAGTATGAAACATGTTTGGTAACAACACCTCTCGGACTCGAAATCCTCGGATTCCGAACCTCATACTAGACCAGGTAGACCATCATTCTGGTATTATCTTAAATTTAGCTGTTTTTACACTCTATGTTTGTAAGTATTAAATTTACTATACAAATCTGTTGGTCACTCTCCTTACATTTAAAATATATACTTGAATATATTAGCCCCGTGGCTAGTTTCTACAAGCATGCTATATTTTACGTTTGCACCCCAAAAATCCTCATTAAAGTTAATTATTTATTATTATTTGTTAGCACCAGCAGAAGTATTTTAGCAAAATTAACCTCGTCTAATGGTGTAGTATCTTAACTTACATAACCTACATTGTGGCAAGGTTAAAAATACACAGACTTCGCAAGTATTAGTTCATGATCAATATAATTAGAGTTCCGGTCCGGCATGGCCAGGTGGTTAGGGCGATCGACTCGTAATCTGAAGGTCGCGGGTTCGAATCCCCGTCACACCAAACATACCAACCTCCGCCTTTGTCTGGTCCCAAGTCCAGTATGAGAAAGGGGGAGGGTTGGGCGCGGGACTAGCAACTCCACCCCGTAAAAACCAACCTACTACAAGTAATGGCAACAACACCTTCCGTTGGCGAGGTGTTGTTGCGGACCTGTGCTCCACTGGGGGTTTACAGGAATAAAAAAAAAAATGATTAAAGTTACTGTTTATATTACAATGTACTTTAGCTTCATGACAGTGTCATTAAGGTTTTGGATTTAAATTAATGCAAACAGGAGAACTGAACATCAGTATCGTAGCTAACATACTGTTTGTTTAGTAGCTCCTAAAACGTAAACCATTATGCCGTAAATACCAGTTTTAAAATGTTAATACTTCATTCTATAATTACTCAATCTGTAAGTCCTATTTCTCTAGTTTGTCTTATTATCAGTCTCGGAAATACAGAGGTTTGCGTACATTATATGAAAATTATTGTGGAGCTTTTAAATCTTTTCCCTCTCATTGTCGAGTTCTGTTTTTTTACGAAGGTCCTCTGGGGCAATGACTTATTGGAGATAAAAGATAGATCTGGAATGCTATTTTTACATGCTTCTTATTTTGAGCCCTAAAGGAACAAATTAAGAGGAGCGTAAAAAAAATCATCTGCACTTAACAAAAAATCTTAGGCCTATTGGTTTCTACGCTTGCCAGCTTTCGGCATTTAAACTGTAACTTGAAAAAAATATGTTCACCATTTCAATATGTTACTTTAATAAACTGGCAAGCATTTGGTTGCAACTGTGTTTGCTTTGTGCAAACTGGCCCGGCATGGCCAGGTAGATAGGGCGCTTGACTCGCAATGCGAGGGTCCCACAAAACATGCTCGTCCTTTCAGGCGTGAGGGCGTTATAATGTAACGGTCGATCCCACTATTCGTTGGTAAAAGAGTAGATCAAGAATCTAGTCTTTCACAGGTAAATTAGGTACGGCTAGTGCAGGTAGCTCTCGTGTAGCTTGACGCGAAATTCATAACAAACAATTATACTAACTATATATTGCATTGAGTACTATTTAAGTTATGTTGCTTTAAAAAGTAATGACTGTCATTACCTGTTCGTAATCATTGTTACGCTGGACATTTACCTCCAAGAAGTGTAGCAAGGACATTTTTCTTTCTAATCAATATAATAACTTGAGTTAACACCATTTCGTGAATGATGGTGAATTTTGCGTCATGTGGACTTTCAATGCCTAGCAGAAAGGTGGTTATTCTCAATATTGTAATTAGACGGACGTTGATTTAAAAACACCAAACAAAATAAACGTTGTGTGAGCATTAAACCTTGAAAGAAGAGTATGTCTTTATTCTTTAAATTCAAAAACTATTGTAACTTAACTGAATAAACAACAAAGTTGAAACTGAATAAGTTAGTTTTATACATCATAATGCATGTAATATATTCGTTTTGTTTCTCGAGGTAAAATTTTCATCTTTTCGTCAAAAAAACAAAAACTTTGTTACAGTGACGTATGATCAAGCTGCTTAGCAAAGGAAATTTGTACAGCAGCATAAGATAAAAAAGATGTTGACTGATGTATTACTAATTAGCTACTCTTTTTAAGTTTTTTATCATAGTTATTAAACAAACATCAGAAACTGATAAAATACTATTCAGCTATTCTCTTCAGTTGTTTGTCATAATTGTTACGTAAATATTAGAGACTGATAACATACTGTTTAACTGTTCTCTTTAAGCTGTCATAATTGTTAAGTAAATATTAGAGACTGATAACATACTGTTTAACTGTTCTCTTTAAGCTGTCATAACTGTCAAGTAAATTTTTTAAAACTGACATATTACTGTTTTCTTTAAGTTGTTTGTTGTAATAGTTAAGTAAATATAAGAAACTAGTAAAATACTGTTTTGCTATTGCATTTTAGTTTTTGTGAGAATTATTAAAGAAACATTAGAAACTCATAAAATAAGTCTTTGAGTATGAAACATCAATAGACAAGCTAAGAGGAATGAGAGGAATCTTTATTAAACACGACTTTTATAATAAATTTGAAGTCTATTAACAAAATACTGTTTAAAATATCTCTTTAAGCACTTTATCATAATTGTTAAATAGATATTAAACACTAATAAATTATCATTCATGTATTCTTCAAGCTTTTCATCATAAGTTTTAAATAGTCTATATGGTGAAACCGTTTCAGTTTAAGGAGATTCTGCCTTGGTAGGATTGGCTTTGGACACGTTTCGGTTTACTAACCTTATGAAGGTAAACGTCGATATATCTTCTGAGACAGTCCTACCGTTTCTGTTAAACAGAAAGAATAAATAAATAAATACTCGGAATCTTGCCCTGACTTTTGCTGGTCCTTTCCTTAAAAATTACCGTTTCAAGGTTAAAAAACATTTTACGCTACTTTGCTCATGTATGCCTTGTTGTGTGTATTGCCTCAAGCTGTTTTCTATTGGTCACAACATACCAGGCTTGGTGCGACGTTGAAGTTTACAAATACACAAAGAAACATCCTTCTTCGAGCTAGACTGCCCGAGGAAAGGCAAACCTCTCCTTTATTCCAGGAAAGTCGAAATCGCACATATCTATGAATGTTCCACGAAGAAGCAAACAAACATGAATCAGTCACTTCCTTTTTTAAAGAATACAAATTTCGATTACTTTAAACTGTTAAATTTTATTAGTTGTATAATTTAGCTGTTTTATGGAACTCAAATTAGGGCTAGTGTCTACATGATAGATAAAAAATGTTGGAGGGTTAGTGTTTGTGAAGTTGGTAGCAATATCTCACATAATCATTATTTTGTTTGTATTCATACTTAACTCACAGGGGTATGTCTGCGAAATGACAACTCTAAAAACCGGGTTTCGATACCCGTGGTGGGCAGAGCACAGATAACCCATTGTGTAGCTTTGTTCTTAACTAAAAACAAACATAACATTTTCAACTCATATACTTGAATATTTTTTCTGTATTATTACAATGCTTTACTCCAGAATCGATTTAATTCAAATATAAAATTGAGTGCTTTAAAGTGTTTATTTTACTTCAAAATGACTACTTTGTCCTAGATAATAATATACGTACTTTAAAGAACATAGAAGCTCCTGAAATCTTTATTTTACCTTCGTCTGAATCAGGAGCATAAATATTAATTGAGAGTTAGTCTGTACATATATCTCTGTCTAGTACAGTTAACTGTATTCATGACAACCTTTCAAAAGTAAACAGTATTATATTATCTTGTAAGACTGGAGAATGAACCAAGAATTAGTCACTCTACCTGATGCCACCAACTATATACACAAATATTAGTTACGCACAAAACCTTGCCTTACAATACAGTTCTCTCAATATATGATCTCCTAAAGATAGTATTTTCAAGTGATTATATCTAATCAGCATATTTAGATGTTAGGAAAACCAGAAGCAACACATAATGAATTTAAAACGTAGGTGAATACCCTAACACGCGATGGCTTCAAGGCCAAGGTCAGGTTTATGAGATGGGATATTTTAAACTCAGCAGACAGTCGAGAGCAATGACCTGTGCAAATCGTAAAAAAATACTTATTGAGTAGACTTAACTTTTATACAATAAAGTAAATTAAATGATGAAATACGGAGCCAGCAAGTTCTAAAATAAATAATAAGTGTTGAAATATTGTCTGTAAATTCCCTCCACAAATTCAATATAAGACTTCGTTCCCCCCCTCACTCTCACCGCTCCTTCTGACGCAAAGATAATTCAGGGTAACAGCTTCTCTACTATTCTAAGCGGTAACCTTGAATTCATTGGTCAGGACACCAGCCACTTCCTGGTTGTAGTAACTTCAAAACAACGAACGTAAAAATAGAAGAATTATTTTACGCTAGCTTCAGTCACGTCTAACAAGGGCAGGAGAACCAGTCATCAGTTGTATTACTGGTAAGTGCCAACAACTGTTAAGTCCTTACTGCCCCGATATGCCATCTTAGATATATGTACATATATTATGTATATTACAGTAGTATAAAAGTTAAAATTATTATAATTCAGAGCACCAGTAATAATAATTTTATCATATTAAATTATGCGTGCTATGTGAAATACACATTTCTTACTCCTAAGATTAGCTATTTTAGAAATGAATATTTCAATATTACATACTTTATTTGAAGCAATCCGCAGAACTGTTTAGAATATATATATGAAAATTGCATATATTTTTACTCTTTCAAATCGTTAACTTATTAGATTTAAAGATGTGTTACGTCTTATTTATTTGATCCACTATTTAGCCCCCCACCCTAAAGTGGCACAGTATGTCTGCAGACTTACAACGCTAGAAACCGGGTTTGGATACCCGTAGTGGGTTTTTTTGTTTGTTTGTTTGTTTTTAATTATACACAAAGCTATACAAGGGCTATCTGTGCTCTGAACATCACGGGTATCGAAACCCGGTTTCTAGCGTTGTAAGTCCGCAGACATACCGCTGTGCCACTGGGGGGCTACCCGTGGTGGGTAGAGCACAGGTATCCCATTGTGTGATGTAAGTACTAATTAAGTTTATTGTTGTTTGTTATTTATTTGAAGTTAAGCACAAAGCTGCACAATGGGCTATCTGTGCTCTGCCCACCATGGGTATCGAAACCCGGTTTCTAGCGTTGTAAGTCTGCAGACATACCGCTGTGCCACTGGGGGGCTACTAATTAAAAGATGCAGTATTACGGTATGAACAGTGCTAGTTTAACAGTTGGTGAGATATACTTACTATTTACCCGAATATTTCGTTTTGTTTATAAAACAAATTAAGTAGAGAGGGCGAGATATATATTTTAGTGTTGTAAATGTATTTAATAATTTTTCAAACATATGAACTCATAATCAAATGTCTGACTCGGATACCTAATATTTTATTGGATTATTTGGCCCTATTATCTATCAATGTCCATTTTGTACATCTCGGTTCGGAGTAGCCTTCTAGGCAGGCCTTGCAAGTACGACGTTTTGATCGCTAGCGCGATCATTCTCGAGTACAAGGATTTAATGGTAAAGGTTATTATACTTAAATCAACATTCAACAATATGAATATTCAAGTTTTATAATGTTAGTTTGGTTTGTTTTGAATTGCGCACAAAGCTACACGAGAGTTATCTGCGCTAGTCGTCCCTAATTTCGCAGTGTAAGACTGGAGGGAAGGCAGCTAGTTATCACCACCCAACGCCAACTCTTGGGCTTCTTCTTTACCAACGAATAGTGGGATTGACCGTACATTATAACGCCCGCACGGCTGAAAGAGCGAGCATGTTTGGTGTGACGTGGATTCGAACCCACGACCCGCAGATTGCGAGTCGAGCTCCCTAACCACCTGGCCATGCTGGGCCTATATTGTTAGACGTAAACATGTTGCACGTTTCGGTTCGGTGTAACTCTACGCGGCCTTGCAGAACCAAGTTTTATGTTAATTAAAGGAAGACATTTTCCCGTAAAATGAAACAAGTATAATGTACATTATAGATAATTTCTTACAGTAACACATCTATCATTTGAGTGTCACTCATTATTTTGGTGTGTTTTTTATGTTCCTACGCCTCAAGTTAACAGGACACAAGTCAACTGACTAAAGTTATAGTACAAACATTACTAGTCTAGGCCTTGATTGGTTTATATATATATCTGAATATTCATAAAATAGTACTATCGTTAAACTTGAGAATTTATGTAGAATACACCGAAGGAAGCGAAACACTGAATAAATAAACAATTTTTCCAAAACCTTATGATAATTGTTCCCTACTGTTTATATGCCTTCTTCATTTCAATTGTCACTACATAATATAAGTTACAAAATTATAGTGTAAAATAGCCTCGACATAGATTAGCGTGTATTTGATGGAACAAATCCTAACAATTCGTCGAAACTGTTTTTATTTCAGAGTTTTCGCGCTAAGGTACACAAAGCTACACACCTCCTTTCCCAATTTTGAACTGATAAACACCCATCTCAAACTCTTGCGTGACCATATATGGGATTTTGACGATTACAGTTATGGTGCACCCAAGGTACGACTCGCGTTTTTGAGGCCAGGGGACGCGTATTGTAAATCATCGAATTTACAGTCGGGGCATACTAATCACTAAGCACATGGTCCAAAACAGAAAAAGAGTATACTTATGATAGATAAAATTAGTTTTGCTATTTCGTACACAGTTTTGGCTAGTCTTCAGATTTTTTTATGTGCTTATGAAAAAGGAAGTAAACTAGACGGCTTATAACGCTAAAATTAGGCATTCGATTTCTACAGTTGGCATTGTGCAGATAGCTTATTGTGTAGCTTTTGAGTTAACTAACACTATACAGGCTCGGTTCATTTGACCGACCTTGTAACCACTATAAAAAAAAATAATAATCGAAATTACCTTTTTTCTTCAGGAATGATTGCAAATTTTAACAGAAAATTACGATTATTTATCTTAAACAGCATCAGGGTCATAACAATTTGGCTCGTCATGGCCAGGTGGTTAGGGAGCTCGACTCACAATCTGCGGGTCGCGGGTTCGAATACCCGTCACACCAAACATGCTCGCCCTTTCAGCTGAGTCGTGGGGAGGCAAGGGCACACAGGGGA